TGATATTCGAATTTTGTAAAAAAAAATTACTCTGTACTGAATTTTGTCAAATTTTGCATTAATTTTTTTCTTTTGTTCTTATTTGGGATTCTGAAATATTTTTGAATACTTCCTTCCAAGCGTAAGTTATCATAAGACTAATTTTTATTATCATAATTATATTTAGTTTTTTAATCATTTTTATTCCAGGTTTTCCGTTTGTGATCAAATTTTCAAGCTTGTCATGAAATTTTTATTTTCATTACCGACAACTGATTAGGCGTCATTCTCTATGGAGCCTAACAAGTCTCCAAATCACGCCCTAGAGGGATCGTCAAGCGAATCTAGCATAACAAGCGGCTCCAGCCATTCAATCTCTTCTTCGCTTTCTTTCTCGGTTGGCACCTATGTAATGGCATCTTGGAGGAATAATTTTGAATATTTAGCTGAAATATTGGCCGTCCGTCAAAGAGCTCGATCTATGCTGGGAGGCTCAGGAGATCGGTGCGAATATAAACTAAGATTTGTATGGGACCATATTATCGAATGGACGCCAGCCAGTCGCTTACGCGCCGCTAGCCGATTCGAAATTGATTATGTACTTAAGTTTTGTCGGGAGCATGGGGGCGAAGGAGCGGGTAAGACCCCACCACCCGCTCCCCCAGTACAAACAAAAAGTGCTTCAGAATCCCCCTTAACTACAAGTTTTCGACGTACAGTTGCCTCCACTTCAATTAAATCATCGAAATCACCACAGGAGCCTCTCAAAAAGCAAGGAAACCATCCGGTAAAGTCGAATGGAACCTCCAAAAAATTGAAATTAAATTCCTCAGCAAAAGGGGCGAACAGCTCTCCACAAATAATTGAAAATCATCCTGATCATGGTATAACATCTGTAACTTCAATATCTAGCACTCGTAAGCCCCGCTCTGGTCGAAATCTTTTAGGCTCTCCAGTACTTACAACATCTGCGTCTTCAACTGATCCAGCTACATGCCGTTCTAACGCAAACAATATTTCTTCAATCACCTCAAGCAATAATGTTCCAACTAGCGGGGCCACTACTCATCTTATATCTGCACCTTTGCCCTTCAGTTTAGAAGGAAGTGTAGAATTAGATGACATGGTGTACGATCGCAGTGTTGCCCAATTTCATGAAGCCTGTCGTAAACGGCGTCAATTAAAACGCCAGGCCATAGAACAAGAAAGGCAGCAATCAGAACAGTCCTCTAGGAAATGTGACGTTAAAGGCGTTTTTACAGACACAACAACTCCTCTCTCGGGCTCTTTTTCCGAAGAAAGCATGTGCGATGTATCCAAAGAGCCTCCACTAATGCCTGTTTCTCGTTTACTTCGTCATTTTGAAGAAACTGAAGTAAGCTAAATTTTTATCCCAGAATATTGCTTACTATTACTTTT